TTTCTCCACCCTTGCAATCCCCAAATGAAATCCTATTACCCCAACCAMCTCACACCTCTTGTCAAAATGTCAAGTAAAGACAGCATCACACCCCGGAGCTGCTAAACCAAACCACCACAGCCATAATTTTTGAAGGCAAATACACTGAGCTAGGAGAGAGGGATGTGGTTAATTTTGGCGTATTCAGGCTGAGGCTCTTGCAGCACATGTTTCCTTACAACCATATATGGAGATGCCATCTACCTATTCTYCCATGCTGTCAGTAAAGCAAAGATCTTTAAAGCTTAGGGCTTGGAGCCATGAGGCTCTGCTCACTGTAGGTGGTATTTCTTAGGAGGCAGAGTGCAGTGGTCTGGATGGGCCATGTGGTTGCTCTCAGTACTCATCTGGGAAGTAACAAAGTGAATTGTTCCCACTTCAAGTGAGATTTTAATTTGTCTGGACTCCTGCCCAAACTTCTGCCTTTGGAACTGGCTGTGGGAGCAGTAATGGGAGTACAGCAGCTGGGAAGATGGATAAGAGAAATGAATACAACAACTGGAAGGATGGGTGAGGGAATGTAGATGACCACTAATTTAATAGCACACAGCAGGATAATCAAGGGCTGAAGCAACTAGAGCCAGCATGGGCCAAGCACTCCTTGGCAAGAGAAGTTTTGAACACTTGAAGTTTGATCCATCCTACCCTACCTTGGTTCTCTAGTGGGCTTATAAATTTCAGAACAACTGCTCTCTCAAAGGAGTCACCCAGAGTCACCAGTCATTTGGGAAAACCTGAAATTGTTCAAAATTATTATGCATGACAACCTTWAGCATCCTCATTTTTTTCATATGTAATTTCACAGCAACACTTACAGTCCTGTCTGTAAGGGTAAGAAGAGGTGTGAAAACCAGATAACTCTTTTAATTTGCCGCCGACTACATCAATAGTTCTTTTGCTTCAGTAACTACTGGAAACTTTGAGGTTCCATGCACCTTTAGGGTAGAACAGCAACATTCTGAGTACCATAGAATGGTACTGAAAGAGCCATTGATGCTTCYGAGGTCCTCTAGTAGAACAGAATGCTTTCAGAACAATGGTTAATCTTTTATTTTAGATCTCACTAGCCAGTGTAGAGCCTATAAAAAATTTCTGAAAAAGTGGTATCTTGAAGTGCTTCTATAAGAAGGTCAGGTTGTACATGAGAGACTACAAGACAGAAAGGTCTGTGACCTTCTCCTGTTTCTGTTTTGTTAAGTGGTCACAGGCTTGTCCTTTAATTCACTAATCTTGAATTTCCTTGCTAAAATCCAGGTGCAGTGACATTTATCACCAGGTGGGATATTGCAGGGTTTTGTAGTCCAGTTTGATTTGTATTAGGATTGGAAGGCATCAAACAAAAATGGACTCACTGTGAATAGGTTTTGTACATAAGAGGGCAAGCCCTGTCCTGAAGAGTTTTAGATGCTGAACAGTGAGGGAGGCTGGGCTATGGCAGAGATTTTGTAATGCCCATTTTTTAAATAGGAAGCAGGATGATGGAAGATGAAAAGCAAGGAGGAGTTCCCAGAAGGTAAATTCTCAGCCCATGAGTTACAGGATGGTCACTCGATCTGTGCTGGCTCCTTGTCCTGTGCAGTAACCACCAGGTACTTTAGTCTGTCTTCACTGAGGACACATCAAATTTGTATTTCCTTCTTAGCCCACCTCACGGCAATTCTTCTTTGTTGCCCCATACTGAGTCYTCTAGCCAAAATCACACGAGGGATACAACAACAGTAGTTATTATTAAAGCCCAGACTAGCTGTTTGGATGAAGACAATATTTTCTAGGGATCTTGGCGATGAAAGTTACTAAAAGCAGGTTCAGATGGTTCACAAAAACCATCCTTGGATTATCAGTGATGGGTGACAGCAACTGACGCTTTCATGGCCCTGATGCTGAGATCATCAAATTCCACAATTTGTTAACATCTTGAATGGAGGGCAATGGGGTTTCTAGGGTTTCCTGCTAGCCTGCTCCCCTTTAATAACTCACTGATTAGACTTTATTTAGGGCACAGACAACTCATTGCAGTATTTCTGTCCATGGTGAAGTCTGGGACACAAGTTATGATGGGTCAGAAGTCCCAAAGCATGAAGACACCTAAGATTTATGTTTGAATGGGATAGAAATAAGCTGTGCAACCAGAATAAGAAATTATTCAYGCACTATTGACAGGTTGTCTGGTTCCACTTGCAACCTCTTGCAATTTTCCATTCAAACAAAAGTACCCTGGAAGTGCTTTGAAGTAGCTTCTATGCTTATCCATTACAGGCAACCTCTTCTCTTTCAACGGCTAAGTTTCTCCCCAGAAATAACCTGGGATTGTTCATCTTTTTTTTCCTTTCCCTGTCAAATGTCTAGTTTTGATTTTAATGACCACACCYGCTCTGACTGTATGCTGCACTGCGTAAATGGGCTGGACAAGGCACCCTCTGTCTCCCASCTCTGATATCCTTCAAGAAGATACCTAATGGCTGGCCACTTGCTGCACCAATAGTTTTTTCAGTGTGCAAATATCTGCTCTCACTCAGTGGGCTTATATAACGTGCATAATCTGGGACAGACAGGCTGGAGTTATGCTACCTGTTTTAACTGTGAAGGCTGCTTGCCAAAAATAATTTATTTGATTGTATTGGCTGGGTCAGTCAGAGTTTAATAGCAYGTCATGGTAAGGGGCAATCTTAGAGAGTGCCAGACATGCAATACAGAACTGAGTGTACGCACTCTGGCCCAACCAAAAGGATTTGCTGCGACCGACAAAACTGTTTATACCTGTTGGTTGAATAAAACTTCTTTAGTGAAGTCACCAAGGTACTGTTTAGTGCAAAATGTGAGGAGTCAAGGTGTTCTGCATGGACAATTTCAGGTTCATCAAGTTTTCTGGCAGAAACTCCACAGGAAGCCTCCACTGTAATAAATGTTGCATTCAAACGGAAATATGCTTCCAATACCACCACTAAAAGTGAAGACTGGGAGTAAGCAAATAAATCTGATTGCTATAGAGCAAATGTAAGAGAATCAATATGTCTTACTTCTCTGGAGTGAAGCTCATGCCCATGCTAAAAAGATGACGGAACAAAACCAATCTCATACCTGCCTGTTGCTTCAAGACATATCGTACCCCTGAAGAAAAATGCACCAAAGAAGAGTGGAGGATCTACAGTCTTCAAACAACTTTGCTACCATATGTGGCAAGACCACGACCCTCATTTTGTTTTCAGTTTGCTTCACCTAATAATATTACTGGAAACAGGGAACATGSAAAATAAAAATCTCTTTTTTAAGTTTAGTGCAGACTAGGAAAAGCAGAATTGGCCAGATCCCAAGGTACCACTCTAAAACAATAAGTAAGCATGAAAAATAGAAAGCTTTTTCATTTAGAAAACATTAATGTCATTGTTATTAAATTTATGGTTAGATAAAATCCCTGTTCAGATACAACCAATAATGTGTGATACACTACGAAGGGAGGATYCAGATTTTTTAGTCCAATCACAGAAGCAATAGTTGAACTGAACAACATATTTATGGACCTATATAGTCTAGACTTGTTATCTTACCCATTTCCCACTTCCCCCACAATTTTTCCAACCTTCATCCGGCCAATAAATACATGGGAACCGATTTCTGACAGAGTTAATTACCTCTAATTGTGYCCCTCTTGTTATCTTACCAACTTTGACTCACCACAAATTACTCCAGTACAGATGTTGGCAAGATAAGAACTCTAGACTCTCTCCATATGTATGATATTTCTGTATTTATTTATATATCTGAACATGTTAGCTATGCTGCTGGTAGACTGGATCAGTTAKTTCATGACTGCTAGGATTGTACAGCTGACTGGCTGCGCTCGCTGCCTTGGGGCAGATACAGAGATGCAATTCCTGCCCTTCGCTGCCTGCTCCAGCCCAGGGCATTGGTGAGATACTTTCAGTCATGACCTAACAAAGTCTGGGTTAATAAGAATCAGGGGAGGATCAAGGGAGTAGCATTTCTTGGATGATAAAGTACTTCAGCAAAGGCTAGTGCACAGTATGCTGGAACAAAAAATAATTTACATATCAATAAATAAAACATAGAAATCTGGGTTGGCTGAAAAAATGACACAATTTATCTTTTGGTATTTCCATTTGTGACTATTCTAGAGGCAAACCTGGTGCCTGAAACATCAGGGAAGATACTGAGCAAGGCGTGATTCAAATTGAACTTCTGACTCCGAAAGGCATTTTTAATCAGTTAGGATCCAGGGTCYTGGCTTACATAAATGTAGGAATGCTATTCACCTCCTTTGTAAAAAAATAAAAGGGGGAAAAAAGCCCACAACAAAAACACCCTAAGGGGTTGTAATAAAAAGGCAAATACATTAAAACCAATAAAGATGGGGGGGAAAAATTAAAAGAAAATAGTTTTATTGTCAGGAAATTGATTCCAGGGAAGTATACATTTTTTGGTCAGGTAAAAGTTGATTTTTTTCTGTCTGAAAAATTACAGTGAGATAGTCTGCATTGGTGGAGGTACCAAGTAATTTTTTTTCATGTCTCTGAGTTGTGTTTGTACATCGCTTGAACTCCTCTTCAGCTCTTACTCTTCAGTGGGGTTACACAGCCCTTTCAGCAGCCTCTTCCTAGGGCTGAACACTGCCCCATAGAATGGAAGTCCCAGCTCAGTGACATAGCAAATGTGGAAGCAACAAAAAGTTTGAGATAATGCAAGACTTTCCTTTGGAGGAGAAACATTGAGTCATCTGCAAAACTGCGAGATTTGATGTGCAAAACTGAGAGATTTGATGTGCACCATCAGTTCTCACAGCTCTCAGGCATCTGTTACTGTGAATTTTCCTTTGGGTTATGATCATTCTCTCTACTTCTCAAAACTTTGATTCCTTGCACAGAGGGGGTGCACACATTGTACAGTGTGAAAAAAATTTGTTGTTGCCATTTCTAACATTTTCCTTCTGTATTTCTGTGTTGCAGATATAGATGAATGCGCTTCAGATTCTCACCAGTGTAACCCCACCCAGATCTGCATAAATACAGAGGGAGGCTACACGTGTTCCTGCACTGAAGGCTACTGGCTGCTAGAAGGCCAGTGTTTAGGTAAAACCCTCATGTGCTATGGTATCTGAGTATCTCTGTATGTGCACCTGWGAATCCCTGAAATAATGTCACCAAGCATTTTTGCCAAGTTAAACCTGCAGCTGTGTGGAAATTGTCCTTTGCCTGTGTAAGTGCCAATGAGGTACCTGCCAGAGGGGCTCCCTCAGGGAACAAACCTGTAGATGTAAATGCCATATGACTGGCATCATGGTACTGTAATAACTGGGCTTTTCATMGTCCCAGATTCCTTTTCATACAAGATCAATCACAGCCACATGTGCAAAAAGACTGTTGCCCAAACAGACCTGTCCATCCCTAACAGGAACAATGTGGACCTGAAGGGATCTGTATYTGATATCAAAAAATGGGACAGACAGTAAATCCTTAGAGTCAACCAATTCTTTTGTTTGGGGGTGAGAAAAAAAATTACCTCTAAACTGGGTGCCATTTCAGTAGCTTCCAAGCAGTTTCATTTAAATTTTAATATTTTCCATACAGCAATGTCCTCATCCTTTGAGCTCTGTCCTGTTGAAAAAAACATCGCTCAACAAACAGGACCGGAAAACATTCCATCTCTCCTCCAGCCCTTCCCCCTCACTTGACACGCTTATGGGATGATGATGTAGATGCTAATTTTAGGTACACAGACAGCACCAAGGAATCAGCACACAACTTTTTAAAGAAAAGTTTGCCCATTATTAGTTTTYTCCCTGCTGTGCAGGCTGTTTGCTGCCAGCTCTGTGGAACTGGACCATCCCGTCACACCTCCACTGGAAGGAGAATGGGCTTTCCCTGCCCATTTGTCCCTGGAGCGTCTCCAGTTATTTTCCAGCTTTCTCCTCCCAAGTACCAATTCCATGAAGGACGCACTCATGGCTGCTTTCCTAACGCCTGCAAACAGCTGCTGTGTAATTCACCTGGCAGGGACTGAGCTAASCCCTGTCCAAGCTGGGGGCTCTGCAGCCATAGCCACTTCAGGGAGTCATTGTCTTGTAGTTCCCCTGRGATAAGACGTCTCCAAGGCTCCTGCTCCTTCATCTATGATAAATCGATTTCTCTTGGGAAAAAGAAAAAAAAGCTTGTGCTGGGAATGAACAGTCATATGTGATAGGGTGGGGATGAGGGAGGGCAGCAAGGAATAWTCTGCTCTGCATCACCTATTCTGTTACCCATTACCGCTCCAAGACACAGGCCAAATGAAAGGGTTGTGCGCAGCATTCAGGATTTGAACATGGATCTAAATTAGTCTTCTTCTTGATGGATATAACAGAGAACTGAAATGGCTGCATTGCTAAATTGATTTGAGTATCTAGTTATGCTATTTAAAATCTGATCATCCCAATAATGCCCTATTTAAGTCATCATGGCGTGGATTATTGCAAGGCAATGCAAAAAAAGAAAAGTAAATTGCGTTTAGAGTTGCTATATTTTTCCCTCAATTTCAAAAAGTCTCAGTTTTCCCTACCTCCCACTGGCTTTGGAGAAGTGGTTTTTGCTACCATAAAGCAGTAAAGGAATATTTACTATAATCAGGGGGCCAAGTTGGGTTTTAGAGACAGATTTTTTTAGTGGACTGTCAGTAAATCATGGTTACAAAAACCTACATTTTTATCTGTCACAATTATCCCCGTAAAGTTTACACAGGARGAGCCAGTACAGCAGCATCCACATGAACAACCCACAAGGAGCAGCCCTGTAAAAATCCTTATCCTCAAAATGTRGCACTCTTGAGACAACAGTCCTGCAAAACACAAAGTATGCATTTAAAGAAATGAATTGTGTTGGTACAATGAGCTATTCATTTACTTAAAACCTGTGTAATTTCTGCAGGTTTTGGTGAAGCCTGCTGATGGTGTGCTCACCACCACTGACCTGGCCTTTAGGTTATCTTGCTAACTGACTGCAGATAGTCCCCTGGATTTTCTACTGCACAAATTAAGCTTCAAAGCTTTGAGAGCAGTCATTAAAAAAAAATCTCCATAAATTAAAAGCCAGTTTATACYGGAGGAAATGTTAGGGCTTTGAAAGGACAACTATTCCAGGTGTTTTATTTCCGTTCTGGGGCAAAAATCTTCTAGTACTTACCATCTTGCGTATCTTAGAGGATTTTCTTTTGCTCGTAGCAGTCAATTGCATTGCTAATGCTGCAATTCAGCCCAAACTGCTACTTTGGCATTAAATTAACTGTTTATACAGTCTATAATTTGTCAGTTAAAAATTCATATATAAAGTGAATGTGACTATTCCAAAAAACGGTCTTTCAAAAATAACCACACTAAAAAAAGAAGCCTTTAGTAACAAACATTGCTGTTCCAGTGAGTAGCTTTGGTAAATGTGGAGGCAAAGAAGGTTTCTATTTTGATTCTGGCAAAATTTCACTGCAGTGTTGGCTGTGGTTGTGCTGGTGGGCTGTGCCAGCTGTCAGGTATCCTTTGAGGCAGCTGCGTAAAAGACAGACTGGGCTGCTGGGTTTACATTAATCTGAAGATTATAGCAATGACAATCAATTCATCAAACACACTGGTAGATGTCAGATGTGGATAAAACCACATTGCTACATTTTCCTGGGGAGAGGTGTGTTTTAGCTATAACTCATGTCTGAATGCCTGCAAGTTTGGCTGTTWCATATACAACCAGCGTGGTGGGTAATTTCTGTGCTATCAGCACTGTTGGCTCAGTGTGCCACTGTTTTGTATCTCCTGTGAAAATGCAGACCACTCCACTTTCCATCCTTCCCACCCACAGACATCGACGAATGTCGCTACGGCTACTGCCAGCAGCTGTGYGCCAACGTGCCCGGCTCCTACTCCTGCACGTGCAACCCGGGCTTTACCCTCAATGATGACGGGAGATCATGCCAAGGTAYGAGTGTGTGTGTGTATTTGGTGACCCACAACTGAAAGCTTTGGTCCTCACCCAGCAACACCCTGAAAACTTGTCTGGTTTTTAGAACACAAGTAACCATCCTGGCATTGCTTTTGAGAATGTTCACGTTTGTCAGATATTGGTGTGCTTTCACAGTACCTCCAAGGCATTCAAGTGCAACATGGCCAATRTATCAGGAGAAATATGCAAAGAGGCCCAAACCTCAATTCACTCAATTCAGTGGAATTGCCAACAGTTCAGGCACTGAATTTACTGTTAAAACCTGAGGCTATGTGACTTACCTGAGATAAGAAACCTTTGTCAGATCAGTAAATCAGAATCTCCCAAGATCTGGAATGGATTCCTTAGCATTAGACCACCTTTTGCTACCTCAATCAAAGTCAACACAACCTCYTCACAGTCTCCCTGGCAAAGCAGGGAGCATCTTTTCACATGCTACCARAAAAGGTCTGTGCTAATGATGGCCAGAAGCTGCTACTGTCCTAAAAGGAAAAAATTCCTTTTGCCWTAGACCAAGGTTTCCATGAGGACCATTCTACATTGTATTACCTTTCTCAGAAAAATCTTGCTSCATTTTGTCTCAAGTTTGTTGTGAAATATTGGTTCAATAGTTTTCAAATTGCAGGATAATGACAGAAACRTTTGTAATAAAAATTTCATCCCCATCCTCCATGTTATTTTCTTTAATGAAGACATATCCAAAATGCTGCACTTCCACACATGTTGTGTTTCCAACGTGCTATTCCCAAGCATCAGCCTGAATCCAAATAAACAACACTGACTTGGTTATAATTTTTCAGAACAAATCATTCTGACTATACAGCTAATCTCYTTGAAATGCTCTGCAGTGAAAAAATGAGCATGGACTTTGAGGGGAAGTCACTGATGAATTTGGCATTGGTTTCCCATAGATGTGAATGAATGCACAAGTGAAAACCCTTGCACTCAGACCTGCGTCAACACCTACGGCTCTTTTCTCTGCCGCTGTGAACCTGGCTATGAACTGGAAGCTGATGGAGTTAACTGCAGTGGTAACTGTCTCTATTTATTTTTTCTTTAATTCTATTAAGTTTGCTTTTTCAAAGGTATTGATTTGTACACACTTTTTAATAAGTTTTTTGCCTTGGTCCATGGTAGCAGCAGGATAGCTGCAACACATATGATCTTCTTTCCAGCTAAAGCACACAGCAAATACCCAGAAAAGCTCAGTAAAGGAGGGCTGCATATGGTTTTAAAGAAATAAGCTAAATATTCAAAAGCTCCAAGGTAACAGMAAAACATAAGAAAGCTCTTTGTAATGCTGAACAGGAAGCTTTATTAGAGCAAGTAGAGATAGTCCTAGAACATTCTTCCATGATTAAAGAAACACTTTATATAAAGCACTTTTCCATTTGTCTGTTGAATGCATGTATTCCTTTTGCTCTTCCGACTGCTCAACTTATGCCTGAAACCTTCCCCAGTTTCCCCTGTAGGCTCTGGCTTCATTTTAGAAACAACATATGATTTCTTAGTACAGTTAGTGCTGAACTGTTCAGCACCCAGCAGAATAAATCGTGCTTATGTCACTGCACTTTTTCCTCTCCGGTTCTTGTTTTTATTTTATTATTTTATTTTAATTGAAGGCAAAACTTATTTCTTTGCTCATTGTTCCCTCAGCCTGCTAAAATTAGAGAATTCAGCCAATATTTCTTGGAAGGAAAAATGCACTGGAAAATACTTGTGTTTTAATTTACAGTAAACAGATGTAACACGTTGTTTCTGAGACAGAAGGCATGTGAGATGCAGTGTACATGATTAGTGTTTCCCAAGATATTTTTCCTGATAAYGTCCTTATTATAAGGGAAAGAACAAATATTAAAAATCTGAAAGTGTCTTAAGCATTTAACATTTAGACTGAAACAGCTAGCGTAGTGTTCTGCTTTCTGATGGAATTTTTTCTTCTAAGTTAGGCTGCTGAATGTTTTTGATGTGCTCACCTCCTGAGCTACTTGGGGGTCTGAATCAGATCAGTTCATTGCAATGCCCCGTAAGGTGGTACTTGAACCTCAACCATGTCTGAGAGTTCAGCCAACAAAAGTTACTTTCYACCACCCAGATAAGAGCAGAAAATYTTTTCCTGACCATCTTGTGCAAGAAAATGTTTRACAAAGCAGGACAAATTTCTCTGGATGAGCTTCTTCCCCTTYACAGTCAATCACTAGACATCTGAGGCTCGCAAAGCATTAGGAGGACACTCTTACGAGACACCCAGGACTCAGATTTACTTCAACAGGAGCAGGATTAGTCCATGGTTTAGCAGCCAACTTACCTTGAAGTTGGGAGGCATTCTTGCCCAACATCAAGGACACAGACGGAAATTTGAACCTGGCTTTGCCAACATCATCATTACTTTCTAACCACAGAGCTCTTCCAAGAGAATTAGATGTGTTCTGAAATGACAACCATCTTGTCTGCACATACTCAGCATAATGCCAGGAGTGTGTAGGAACACTGTGGGCTCAGCAGCAGCAATGTAGGAGCCTTGGGGCTCTAAGTCCCTCAGCACCTGACAGCAGCCAAGCACCAGTTACACAAATCCAGTATTCTGAAGGTCTGGACTAGGATGCCAGGGGGGTGGTAGATGTCTCAGTCACTTTACGGAATCAGCCCTCAGTCCATGTGTTTTCAGGAAGGTGTTTATTTCAGTGAACTCACGGGGCAAACTCACACAGTAACAGGACTATGTAGGTGTAGAGTTCCTTTCATCTCCCTTTTGATAATCTGGTTTCAGCCATAAAGCCACTTGGATATATTTGGACTTCAAATACTTTCCAATCCATCTGCACAAAACACCCAAAGTGGATAAATGGACTGAGCCCAATTTAGAAGAAAGAGAAATTCAGTCTGAATAGTAAAAGTGATTTGCCTGGGAGAGTCAACATGTCAGAGCTGGGAATAAGAACTTGGGAGTTCCTGGCTGGGCCTCTGGCCTTTGTTTCTTTCTTCCCCTGACCAGGGAAATAAGGAAATGATTAGTGGCAGTCTCCCTCAGCCTAGTGCCTCTGCATGTGTTTTCCCCTCGTCAGCCATGCCTCCATGTGCAGCTCTGAAGTTTGTCTTTCTCACATGAGCACAGTTCTGCAGAACACAGTGACTGGTCAATTCATGAGTGCAAGGGGAAAGAGCACAGTTTCTGCTTTCAATCAGATATTTGACAGACTGCCTAGCTTCCTGGGTATCTGCGAGAGGGCTGGGCCTTCCAGTATGTCTGACCCAGGCTGGGATGAGCTCTTGTAGTCTTGTTGGAATGACTTGGAAGAAGCTGGCTAGAGGCTAAGAAACATAAAACAGACAGGGCTGGCTGCAGGAGCTCTGCTGGAGCCCATGTGGCCCTGGGAAAGTGAAGTTTGCTCTCCAAAAAAAAAAAAAAAAAAAAAAAAAAAGAAAAAGGAAAAAAAAAAAAGAAAACTACTGCCAAGTATTTCCTTTGAAATTACAGTTGCAGCTTTATTGTCAGAGTATCTCTATCTCTGACGTAAAACAGAAATGAAAACATGGCCAGCTGGTGACAGGTATTAGAAAAGGAAAATAAATAAATAAAAGCCACACATTGTGTTCAGCAGCAGCTTTGGTTTCCTTTGGAAAAAAGTGTTTAACCAAGAACTTGTTGCATAGCATTTTGTCAGGTTGCTGCAGAGCTCCGGGGAGCTGGAGCATGCTGGCCTCCAGCTGGGGTGATGGGCAGGTAATCTGGATGGCCACCTGTCTGCAGGACTGCTCTCTGGGCAGGAAAGCYGAAGACACTAAACTTTGTTTTCCCACTGCAGACATGGACGAATGCAGCTTCTCAGAGTTCCTCTGCCAGCATGAGTGTGTGAACGGGCCTGGTTCTTACTACTGTACCTGTCCTTCAGGCTATAACTTGCTCGACGATAGTAGAAGCTGCCAAGGTAAGAACATTCCTGCACCGATTAAAACCCAAGGGGACCAGAAAATAGATCCTGTGTCTAGAAAGAGGTTTTCAAGAATTGAGATGATTGGTCTTGGCATTGCACAGTGAAATACTCGTAGGGGCCATTTATACAATTCTGGTAAGAATGTCCTCATGTGAGTACTCCTGCTGAGGTGAATTGGTGTGTTGCTTTGAGTAAGACTTTACTGACTGAGAAACAACTACACAGGAAAGACCTCAAATGCTCTCTCCTCTGCTGCACGTCTCTATTTTTCCCATTCTCTAAAGTCAGAGAGCTTGAMCAGGCAGTTACTTTCCAATTTTTTGCAGCATTTAGCATGTGGGAGCACTCTAATAAGCAGAAATGAATGGAGTAAAAACTGATCTTGAAAGAAGGGACAGTTACAACAAGACCACCTCTCATGGTGCAAGAGTTTTATGAATTTTGGGGTAATTTYTTAAGCTGGAAATCAGTTTTTAGGCATGGTGGCTTGTACATATTTCCTTGCTTTAGCCATTCTCTCATTCCTTGTGTTTTAGATATCAATGAATGTGAAATAAGAAAYTTCACCTGCACTTCACAGCAAACATGTTTCAATATCCCAGGAGAATACAAATGTTTAGACCCAGTACGATGCGAGGAGCCTTATCTCCAGATTAATGAGAAGTGAGTAACATACCCACAGCCACCAAAGCAAATTCTATCTGTGAGAATTGTATCTAAGGTAAACCAAATAAGCTGCAATTTTACAACACAGCCATGAAGCCTGTCAAAAGAGTTATAYAGACATGCTGTTGATGCATTTACCACTGCTAAGCTTTATAAAAATCATAAATTGCAATTCCTTRCCAGGTCACCAGGTGTGATGTGATATGATATCATACTCAGACATATGTGAAGTTAGACTGGAAAAACAGGTATCAGTTAGTTGAGAAAACAGCAAGGCTTGTGATGCAATAAGAGACATGTTCTTATATTACTGACTTTATATATGCTCAAATGCAGCCTGTTTATTAGTAAGAGTATTTCCTGAAAATGGTAACTAGCTTATGCCTAGGAAGTACTTTAAAACATTAGATGATTGTTAGAGCAGGATACAAATAGTTTTTTATTGCWTAAAGGTTAAAAGTTCTGAATAGTTCACAGACTGATCTGCCTTKCCCAGAAACTGGGTATGTCTGGATGGGGCTGTTAGTGCTGTTACTGTCTCAACTGGGAATCATTTGAGACAGCAGAAAATAAATCCTRCATTTCTAAAAGTTGCCCATTTCTTTTACATTTTTTGTGTAAAATATTTCAGTTCCAGACAGATGTCTGTATATTGCAGTCTGTATTATTTCATCCACAGTGTTTGCGCTAAACCCAATTACTGTGAATTGCTTGGTCACCTAATGTATTTTTAGAAAGGCAAGAGATGAATAATTAGCTTCTTTCCTTCATAATTTATTCATGTATTTACATTGCTTTCTGAACTAGGGCAGCTGAAGAGTGGACAGACAGTTTTTGTCTAGTCCAGAGGTGGTAGAGTCTTAAACTGGAATTTGACATAACTGAAGCCTCTGTATCCAAATTCCCCAGAGTCCAACTACAGAGTCCTCACAGAGCAGCTTGCACCAGAACTCATGATCTCTGACCTTTGTGTTTGGTGGCTTTGGCTCATGTATAGATGGTACTGCACTTAATTTGTAGCATATGTCTACAAGTGGTCAGTATAAAAGCCAAGTGAATTCCTTGCATCTGTGTTTTCTGTGGAAGGAATTGGATGTTGGTAATGCCGGGAGCCTTTTGATGGGGGATGTGCCAGATGCACTGTCTGAAATTAATGTCAGGAGTGGAGGTTATAGAAAAAATAGCCAAAAACACCCTTGCCCAGTAAAKTCTCCCGACATGCTTTTTATATAGGGACATCCTGCCTCACAACTTTATTAGGGTTCTCTGAAGAAATCAGCATCATGTGGGTAGGGCACATGGACTGATGCAGTCTGTTTGCATTTCCAAAGGCTTCTGAAAGACCCTCACATAATTATCATGGAAATTAAGCAGCCATAAGTAACCAAGCAAAGTCCCTGGAAGGGGAGAGTAAGAGGCTGAAAGATAAAAATTAAACAGAGGGTAGTATTGAACTGTCAACTTTCACGCTGAAGATCTGCAGAGGTCTGAGCTGGACCAACTTGGTCCATCATAAGCAACCTAGGAAGAAGAATAAGCCATGAAATGGGCAAAGTCTGCAACAGTTATGAAGACAGTAGATAAAAGAGTGGGTAGAAAAATATTAGAGAAGAAGCCTCAATTAATGTGCAATAAAAATGGCAGATGAAATTCAGTGTAGATTAATTTAAAGTAAAAAGGCAACCCCAAATTCACAAATGAAATAAGGAGCACTGATCTGATCATAATCCATCCAAACTGAGATTTGAGGGTTGTTCTAGTTCCATGATCTGCAGTACTCATTAGMGGTCAGAAAATTAATCTGAATTTCAAGATTCAAATATCCTTGGAGCACATGCCATCGTGCACCACATCTTTAAGACTGTGCAGTTCCTTCCCCTCCTGTCCAAAGAAATATAACCAGATAAAGGTTCATAAGAAGCAATGAGGATGATCAAAAGTATGGAATAGAATATCTTCCTTGTGAAGAACAGCTGAGTTAGAGCCCTTCAGCCATGAATAGGGTCAAATATGATGCTCTGAGATGTGTGAAGAGGATAAGCATGGGATTGACTRGCTGCTCTCCTTTCAATAAAACAGCTGGGAGCATCAGACAAAGTCAGAAGGAGGCCATGCAGAGGGAGATGAAGGCAGCTGTGGAGCTCCTGGCCACAGGGGCTGTGGGTGCTAAACATTCATCTGGGTGTAAGGGGAAGCTGGAAAAGCTGATGCATAAGAAATGCATTAAGAGCTGATGAATACAAAGAAAATTTTTTTTCAAGGATTCCCTGAGTCACAAACAATTGGAAGCTATTGGTGGAAGTGCCATATTCTTGGTTTGCTATCCTCTTTTTCCTTAAGGCTCTGCATTTGYTAGAGCTCTGGTTGGATCCGGGATGTCTGCTGCATGTTTTTTTCATATAGTATAGAAAATATGGTAAAACAAAGATCACTACAATTATGTAGCACTATCAGTGAAACAATCTAATTATTAATACTACTCAGGGGGACAGTTCAGTTTAAATTACTATCAGAACAAACACCTGCAAAGTATTTTACACCTGCAGAGCTGCTTCAAAGGAAGTTCACCTTTCTGAGTAATCTAAGGAGAGTGCCAAGGTATTTTGGCCTAGACAGCAAGAGAAAGGAGGCAGAATATAGGCCAAAATAGCAACATGGGGAATACTAAAAGTGAGAAAACTCATTACAAGTTTCATTGATTCTTTCAGCTGGTCAACAACATTCTCTGTTTATTTATTTATGCACTTGTATTAGCATAAAAAGAATCAACTATTACAGCAATTTGTAACCTCTGATGACAATTCTGTCTCTGACAATCAGCCGCTGCATGTGTCCCGCTGAAAACCCYGGGTGCAGAGATCAGCCGTTCACCATCCTGTACAGAGTGATGGACATGGTGTCTGGGAGGTCTGTGCCTTCGGACATTTTTCAGATGCAAGCAACAACTCGCTATCCTGGAGCCTATTACATCTTCCAAATCAAATCAGGGAACGAGGGCAGGGAATTCTACATGCGGGTAAGTCTAGCACTCACTGAAAGAAAACAYGGAGTATCCTCTCGTTAGCTGAATGTCCTGATAGCAGAACTGAGCTTCTCATGACTATCACTCAAACCTCCAATATGAGGCATTTTTTACACACAGATATGTAGAGCAGTGTGCTGATCKGCAGGAACTGCTGGATCTCTCAGGAGAGTGGCCTTCCCAAAGAAAACATGCTTCTCCTATGACACAGGAGGTTTAAGAAAGGCCCATGCTGTACCCATGYCTAAGAACAGCTCAGGTCTCCCAAGCTCAAGAGAAACTATTGTGCCAAACTGTTTTTTATTTGATGGATGATCAGGAATTGCCACCGAAAGATTCAAAACTTCTTGTCTGTTTTATCAAACTCTTCATTGGCAATTGAAAAATGTGAAAACCAAAAAAGTAAGCTAAAACCTCACTCCTTTTATGCCAACGATTGACTTTCTGGGTTCTTTGCCTTCATTTGTTATGAGTTTTTTCAACTGAGAACACACATTTTGTGTAGATGCTGTTAGAGAAAATGTAGTTACCTGTTTTTTTGTTTTTTTATCTGAGTTTTCCTCAGAAGATCTCTCTGTTCTTCAGTCATCTTTGCCACACCACTGACATGCAGAGATTATGGGGGTGTCTGCACAGGATGGAGCACATCCACAAGGGATGATGACACTCAGAAAAATGATTTTCAGCTCTAGGAAAAACCTGCCTCTGATATTCCCATTAAGTCCTGTTCTGTGGCCACTGAAGGTTCCCATCCCTCACAGACACCGTTAGTGGGATAGATTCTAGGACAGATTTCTCACAAGACAGATTCCCACTGTAAGAAAAAGAAGATGTTTCAAAGTCCTGAATTGACAAGTGCTCCCATTACAATCATTTACATCTCCCAGGAGCTTTCCTGTTGCAAAGTCATTACTGATTCCATGGCATTTTCYCCTCATCTGGGCTGATCCCGCAGGTGCTGAGACCCAGCATTCATCCCCATTGCCCAAGTCTGCTGGTTCCTTTGATTTAGCACACAGCCATTCCCTGGCAGTGGGTAGGGCTGGGTGGGAGGGACATTGTGACCTTGGTGAGGCCTGGCACAGTCCGRGTAACATGCCCAGCACCTCCCCATRCTATGTCAGCCTTCTTTCTGTCACCAAAGGTAACAAACACCCAATTTTGAGGCAAAACAGGACCCACTTTGTCTACATAAGCTCCGGACAGAAAACAAATTGCAGTTGGTTTTAACATCAGCCGCTCTGATTTTTAAATGCACACAGTCCATGAGTTCTGGTCAGATATTGCAGAGGTCTGCTTCCATTTAGTAAAGGACTGTTTTTCTGAAGTGCCATCCTATATTCAAAGTTCTCTTTTGGAGGGTGAGGTTTGTGCCATTATCATACACAATGTATCACAAATCCAGACCCCATTCACRTGGGAATGTTTGTTCTCCAGGTCCTGTTAGCATAACCCCTTTTGGGGGTTTGCCACTTCATAGTAACACAGCCCTTTAYCTCAGACTAAAGAGTACTCCCCAAAAAAGACAACAAACAAACAAAAAATAAGAAAAATATCACTACTTCTTTATACCCTAAATCTGTGTTTTCATCTTTTTTCTTTTTTGGGCAATMGCAAATGTCTGTATTCAATAGTTACTTCCATGTGCAGGGCTCCCAAAGGCTTCACAAACTGTAAAAGGCAGTAGTTCATACCAAACACTGAAAAGAAGCCAAATGCTGAAATGAAACACTGTTCCATCAGTTGCAGTGGTTTCAAGCAATACAACAGAAACCACCTATTTTGGCTGCTTGAAGACTAGTGAGACAGTAGTTTTGAAGAGCCAGTTTTGGCAATATCACTTGCTTTCTCTTGTTTTGTGCACAGCAAACGGGACCGATCAGTGCCACTCTGGTGATGACCCGCCCCGTCAAGGGGCCCCGCACTATTGAGTTGGACTTGGAAATGATCACCGTTAACACCGTCATCAACTTCAGAGGAAGCTCTGTCATCCGGCTGAGGATATTCGTATCACAGTACTCCTTCTAAACCTCGAGTTTGTGCCCTGGAAACATTAGGCCAAAAGAGACAGTTCCTCCTCTGCAGAACTCTCTCCTCAAAAGCCAGTACATATAGCAGCTCCAAACCAAATCACTATTTCCACAGACCCGGTGACCTATGCCTGTCTGAGCAGGGAGGCCTCTTCATGCACAGTCCCCACCAGGATGCAGACATCTGAAGATGCATTGTCAGCAGATTCTCCATGTGGTCATGTATTTTAAGGACTCTTCTTTTCACTATAAACACTTCTAGGGCATGAGTCTATGTGAAAGACTGTGAACCTTTGTAGCTCCAAGGCTGCTTAGCAGAAAGCACCAAAGAAACTGAGGAAAAAGCTGGCTTTTGCAATCTTGGCTTTTTTTAAAAGTTGTTTTTTTTTTCATTTTAAATGGAAAGCAGACAAACAAGCAGAAACAGAAACAAAAAACCCACATATTGAAACAAGGGACCTCCGAAGTCCTAATTTGCATTACAAATTATCTCTGCAATTATCAGTCAGGCACTTTGTTTCAATTCACCCTGCATTTGTTTTAGTTTCACTTGTTTTTTCTTTAATTCTATTTTATAGTTAAAATTCATTGTAAATTCATTCCAAAAAAACATGTTGTACTATGTAATCTTTTGCTTTCTGACAAAGTGTCACACGTTTGGGTTCCTTTCTGTATTAAATCTTTCTATATAACAGAGTTCATAGAAATCTATCACTGGATGGAGTGTTTTACAACATTTAGGATTTTATTATTATTTACACTCAAGATCCTTGACAGAGGCCTCCACTGCCAGAATAAGTAGAGACTTCAGAGCAGAATAGAATCCGAAAATTTATTTTTCCCTGTTTTCCTGAGTGTGATAGTTGCAAACAGTTTGTAATGGCTACAAAGTAATAATTCTAACTCTGCAGTTATGGCTGCAATTAATCTCCTGTTCAAAGACCACTCAAGTCAGACCTGTCCAAATCCTTCAGAAAATATGAATTGTTCTTTTCATTTGCAGTCTGTCTCCTACATTCTTCCTAATATGGAGGGAAATAGCTGAAAAGGACTAGGACAAGTCTTATGCTTCTACCACAAAGCACTACCCCAAAAGTACCACTACCCCAATCCCAAACAATGGGATCCCACAGCTTCCACGGGCATTGTCTGCTCAGTTATAACTGCTGTGACCAATAGAAAGTTTCTTCTAAAGTCTAATCTGAATCTCCATTGTTGTAATCTGTTGCTTTTTAGCCTACTTCCAGTAGAAATAGGGAACAGTTTATCTTCCCCTTTGCAGCAGCCTAACGTGTCTGAAGACTGTTGTCATGTCTCCCCTCAGACTGTTCTCCTCYAGTCTAAACAAACCCAATTCTTTTGGTCTTTCCTCATACATCACATTTTCTGGACCTTTGATCATTCTTGTTGCTCTCATCTGGATTCTCTCCAGTTGGTTCACATCTTTCTTGAAGCTCAATGCCCAAAACTGTGAAAAGTATTCCAGCTGAGGCCTCTCAGTGCTAAACTAAATCTATATATATATGTTTAATAGTTTGAAAAAAAATTAAAATTGTATAGTTGGAAGGCATAATGCGTATTGAAGCCACTRGCACTTTGGTCTTTTATTTTAATAGGGATGAGGGTTTATATGCCTTGTTCTTAAATTTGTCTAAAAAAAGCTCTTTTGCTTCTTTTTCCCTTACTAGACTATTTGCTCTCTAGCATTGCTGTGACACGAAGGATAAACTTTGCTTTGTCTTTTGAGAACTGGAAGCCGAGGTGCTACTTGGGAGAAGGAGTTTACCAAGATTGTAAAGTGAGCAACTGGAACCAGAGTAGCAGCATTATATGAGTTCTTCATTAAAGTGGAGTATTAAATGGGGGAATACTTGGAAAGTTGTTACAACACAGACTGCATGACACAATCAGAAAACTGACTCCTGTTCCTAGTAGGCTTTGTGAATTAGTAGAGACTGCACTTTTTCCTTGCACTCAGCTTCAAGGAAGCCCTGATGGTCTCAGGAATGGAGCATTGAGTTTAGTAGCTTCCGTTTCTTAATGGTTTAAAGGTTTTCTCTCTGCTGCTACAACATCCTGGGATGCTGTGGCTCAGAGCTCTGTCCTTTATTGTAAAAACAAAAAGGCTGGAGAGTGACTCCAGGGTTTAGTGGGCCAAGCTGGAGGCAGAAAGCCAATGAGTTTTATGAGCAGCTGACTTGGAGTAGATAAATGCAGAGGAAATGGGCAGAGAAATATCAGAAACAAGAATTTGTTCCCTGAGTGTATCATAGCTCATCAAATACCAGAGTCTTGGAAGGAAGGACAGTTTATAACCATGGGGCTAAAAGTGCTCCTGTTCCAGACAATGGAAATAAAACATGGGGAACATGCAGGCTCTGGTAGCCCAGAGAACAGCCAAGGGGTATAGGCAGGATCTTGCACTGAAGATATCCAGYTCTTAAAATGCTGACATCTTTCCCAGTCCATCTTTCCCCTTTTTGTGCCCCTTTGTTATGGCTTCTTCATGCCCAGTTGAGGAGTCGTCTCCTCCTGCCCCCACATCACCTCTCGGAGAGGAAGYACACTGTGTCAGACATCAGAGAGTTTGTCACTTCTGGGCTGTTCTCCCATGGCTCCCACATACCAACCCAATTTAACCCTAATTTAGAAACACCAAAACCCAGAGAAATTCCATAGCAAAATACTTTGTTGAAAGAGTAAAGCTTGAATGCTTGGTTTTAGCAGGATCCAGCAAATACTCGTAAAACAATATTACACTTTCTATATAAACACGCTGCGCCTTAAAAAAAAAGTGAAAAGTCTGGAAACAAAGGAATTCAGCCACTTCTCAACCGCCATAACATCTTTCATCACTCGCTATCACTCCAGCCAATTTAAACTTTGCCAAAACATATGCCAATCTCAAAATAATAAATTACTAGCAGTTTATAATATCTAAACTCTCTGTTTCCTAGTCAGGGGTCTGTTTTCAATAGATCATCATAGACTCAAATATTACAACAATTCTCACCAAATAAAAAAGTGGGGTATGCATGTCAGGCTTTTACAGCATGAAAGTTAAAAATGTAAACTTGCAACTGCTGCATACATTCATGTTCTTCTTTGAGGCCAGGACTCCTCCAGAGCAGACAGAATTCCAGGTCTGCTCAGAAAATGACTCTTTATTCTAACCCACTGCTGAGGATTTTCTGACATGAAGAGTTTTACCATATGGTTAATGGTCAGTATTCTTACTAGCACCAGAGGAAGGCACAGACCTCTGGCTCTGCTTGCTCAGGCTGTCAGAGCTGTTCCTTTGCCAAGCAGGGAAGGGACAGCTCTTTGCCCCTCCTGCCTGTCAGCTGTCACATCTGTTTGAACATAGATCCTCAGGAGAAAAACTGCCCTCCACTATGTGTTTGTACAGAACCTATTGCCAGTGTAATTACTGGAATAAAGGTAAAAGAAAGCAGATATGGCAGTAATCTTTGATACAAAACATAATGATTGGGAAGGAGAAACTATTCTGATAAATGAACCAAGTGATTCATGCTAGTTGGGTTAGGTGCCAGAGGGAGTAGAATGGGTTCTATCATCTGGCTTATTTGACTTTGAGATATTCTTAGGGAATCGACTTTTTTAACACAGACAACAAAATGTTATTTTACCCATGAGTTTCCTGGATCCCACAGAATCTTGTTTCAACTGATGATTCTCTGAAATCATCAGTTGATGATTTTCAGCTATTTGCTGAAAATAGCTAAACTTACTTTGAGTACCTGGTCGCCCCCACCACTACTCATTGCAGTGTCCAGCTCATTCATACAGAGCTCTCTCCTCTTCAGTTGGGAGCCTGTACTCATATTTACCCTTTTTTGACTTAGCTTCTAGAAGAGCCAACTTTTATTGTATCATAAACATGATTGCAGCATCAGCAGAACTTGCATATTAATTTTTCTCTGTTTAGAGCARACAGGGCGATATAATCAATACAGTTGGTGGTCATGCAAGTTCCCCAGTCTGGCTTATTCACAGAATATGCAATTGAATATCTTCCATAACATGTAGCTGTATTAGAACACAATRAAAATGTCATTGCATAAAGATGTTTAAAAAAAGAAAGTAATGAAAGTATGCCCTAATGTTTATACAATCCTGACAGGCATTATTTTCMAAATAAATCTCTATCCTGGATGGACAAACCCTTCAGCTGGTATTAATCTGCATGACTGGTGCTTTTCATTTAAAAGGTAACAAGTGTCCTTAGAATCTTCCTCATGTATGTGTAAAGCACAGTTACCTGTACACTAAGAGAATTTCCAGAAGCTGCAGAAGAGATAGTGTGGCTCTGCATTTGGAAGTCAAAGACCTGTAAGAGAACATGGCACAAGCAAATTCTGTTTCCTCATCTGCCACAAGTCCAGACATGTGATTTACACCTGTCACATTTTGCTCTTTTAAGTCTTTGAACCAATTTTGAATAGTTCAACCCCAAAGCATGAAGACTAAGGCTGTTACTAGACTTTTGGAGATTCTGCAGAAAGGCTGCACCAGAAAGGGGACATGTGCTGAAGGGTCAGTGCCACAGGGAGCGCAATGGCCCACAGGTATTTGTGTGGGGATGTCGGTGATACTGCACTGGCCCCTTTCCTCGCCTGTTTCAGTGCAGGGTGTGACTGAAGTTTTTACCTGTACACATCAGATGTGGAAAGCTCACCTATTTCATTCTTGGCTCAAACTCTGAGTTCCCTCTAGCGGCTGTCAAAYTGATCCCTCCAGGTAACTCAACTAATAAGGTACAGTTTGGGTACAATATACACTTCTACACCAGGAAGTAAACAATGATGCARTAACCTCATGTAAAAATTGAAGAATGTATCTGAGTAGCAAAGGGATTTATAGGAAACACCTCGGCAATCAAGAACACCTGAAATGTTCAATCTCTTTCAATTCCCTTTCCCATATCCCAGAGGTCATTCATTTTCACTTTGGGGTTTGTCCTGGGGATAATGATCTCACTATGGTCACACACTGCAAGCACATGCTGAGTGAGCTCCACTTATTCTCTGGCACTGCTTAACACTTTTCATTTTGCTTTTTGGAGATCAGTTGCCGGCTATTTGTCTTTTCTATAGCCTGGCTGACCTCAGTTGCTCTTCTCATGGCCAAGGCAGATCCATTATTTCCCCATCAGCTTCTTCTGTACCCACCACCTGTGCAAGCTCTTTGTGTGTTTCACTGGAAATGCAGGCACTGCCATGTTCATAAGCATCCTTATAGCAAAGTATCATGTGTGAATGGCTGAAGGGATTGCCCAGCCTGCTGATAGAGCCTGGCTTCAGGAAYAGGATTTTTAAAAAACCCACAATTCCTCAGTTTTGAAGATGAGAGGTGCTCTTGTAGGTCCCCATTTTCTCCAGGAATGGCCTCTGTATGATGTTAGCTTCATAGTCTCAAGGCTTTTCAAGAAGTGTGATAAGGATATGCTTGTGCAATACATCCTTAGGCTTTACAAACCTTGGATAAAGTTTCTCCAATCTGCAAACAGARTATGTGGCCCCAATCAGAGAGTTCAATGTGACCATCATTATGCTGAAATTAGTGATGGCTGAACACCTCACCTCAGGTGTGAATTTATCCCAGTTTTAAGTCTCAAATCTTAGTGTGAGTAGTATAAATGTAAGCAGATATGTATTATTTTTAGAGAAGAGCTGAAAGATTCCTTCCTGTAAGTAAATAATAATATGGTTGCAGAATCTCTTACACTGTGGGCACTGTCTTTGGGTTCTTTGAGATTTCCTGAGATAACCTTTAACACTTCAAAATTTCTTCTGGTATTTCAAGACATTCATTGATGTGTTTCTATGAATGATTCCTCACTCCTGCTCTTCCAAAACCAGCCCAGGCACTTGACTGTATTTTGTTAAAACATGAAGCTACACCCAAGCCTTTGCATAGTTACATCAAATTGTCACATAGAAATTGTTCCTCTCTGTAACCTAGCAGGGATTATGCTGACTTCCTTGAGATTCTGCAGTGTTCTGAGTAACACAGGTGCACGTGTTTGTCCAGACTGGGACCATAGTCTGGAGATTGTTCATCAGCAACTTGCTGCACATGTGTTTCAACCAATGAGTGAAACCATAGCTACAAAGGCTCGTTTGCAACAAAAATCCTCCAAGCAAGGTGTTTCTTGGCTGCCTACACATAATGCAAACACAATCCAAAAATTCAGGACCAGAGTTCTCCAGCCTTCATGAGGAATCCATGTTTTTCAGAAATATTTTGGTCAGTAAACTCATTTTGTGATAATGTGAAATGCAAACAAAGAGGAAGAARGCCTGCCAAAATTGCACAGATTTGTTATTCAAATCAGTATCCCCAAGAAAAGTGGAACATAGTTCATCATTTAAGAATATTCCTTTGGACCCTGACATCTGATGCCATTCAGGTAGGGCAGGAAGACAGAAAAGCTGCTTCCAGAACAACAGCAGCTGTTTGACAGAGATCCCTGGGCTCCTGCACTGACTACAAACACCTGCTAGCCCAAGTCAACACCCCAGGTCAGTGAGAAAGAAACAAAGCTCAGAGAGACATAGGGCTGAGGAGAGGTAACATAGAGCTGAGGAGAGGTAACTTCACTGACTTCTGAATGATATCAAGTGAAGATTTACATCATAATATCTATAAAAWTTCTCACTGCATTTATACATGTCTATAAACGAAATATTTTAAATTATCAAAATTAAAAGGACCAAGCTGTCACCTACCACACACATTACTACCTGCAGGAGGCTTTAGTGTATCCGTCTGCCATTCCCCAGGGCTGTGCTCACTTAGAATTTCCCAGTCTGATTTGGTGTGAGTTAACAATGGTGTGACAGCATTCAGTTCAAGCAGGGTAGTCATACCCATGGATGYGAAAAGAGAGGTACAGAGGCATTAAATTACAATTGAACCAGAAAGTTAATAAAAAAGAGCTTGCTGATTAGTTAACCTTCAATGCTTTAGTTATGATGTCATTGCCATGCACAAAAATAATCAAGTAGAAACACAATATTAAAAAGGAGATTATCTCTTTAGAAAGATAAGTACCCATGTAGCCTATAAATAGCTCYGAAATTAAGACATCCCACACAACATCTGGAAGAGGAAGAATTCAGTCCTTGACCTCTAGCATCCTTGTCTCCCAGAGCAGGATTAAGCACAGTTGATCCTTATCGGGATACAGACACAATGGCTGTTTGATGGTCGAGCCAAGAACAAGGCAGGCACAGCCAGAGGCAAGGGGAGGACACATCAAGATAATGTAAAAGTATTAAAGAATGCTCTCAGTGTGCAGGATCTCTGAGACACATCTCTCTTGCTCTATAAAGCTTTCTAGCTTTGTTTGGGAAATGCTAAYGGTCACTTCAATAAAAATGGAGGGATGGCAACATCCATATGTTTGAATGCAGAATCTGTTTTCAAAAATATTATGCCCTGGCCAATCTATCACCCATTGAGATGCACTGGATACCAGAAACCTCYAAGTACAATTTTAGGCATAGCCCATATAGTGCCACCTTACACCAACACTTTATCCTGCAGCCAGTGCAGGTGGAAGGAGAGGAACCCACTGCCCTGCTTCAATGGATGCTCCACAGAACTTCTGCTGCTGTTTAAACAGTCATTTCCCCAACTCTTACTTACAGGCTGTCTGGATTAATAAACATGTTATATTTTGAAATCTTATTTTCTTTTATTTTTTTTCTTTAAGAATAATTTTGTACTCTAATTTTAAATGGATATTTTCAGTGTTCCTCATYCTGTCCCTTTAGCCAATAAGCACTTACTTCTTTTGTAGCAGAAAATGAGCTTTGGTGAATACACCAATAGGGACTATTTTAAAGATTTTTTTTAAGAAAATAAATAAGTTGCTAACAAAAATTATAATTGAATTCTGGCTCATTTTGATCATTAACTAGTTTAGTGGTCTTCATATAACATCACTGCAAGTATTCATGATGGAATTATGTAACCTCTTTGCAAAGCAAGGTGAATGAAAATCAGTGATTCTGGTRCATCTACTGGTCAAAAACACTAGTGACACAGAGGCAGTAGTAGAGAAAACTTCAAAACAAAATAAATTCATTTAACATTCATTTCCAAGAGGCTGATTTTCTTTCACAGTTTTTGTGTTGTACAGTTGCCCATACTTGGAGGTTCATGTGTGTACTTTACCTTAATTTCCTGGTGAGGATGTGTGATAAGGCTCAAATTAACATTTTATGTAATGCTACTTTATCTGTACTCGGAGTCTGACGTATCAGAGCCGTTTCTTTCCTTTGCAATTCCAATGGAGGCTGGAGCAGCTTCTGAGGGTGGGGATGGCTTCCTTGCCCAGCTCCCCCTCCAGCACCAGCCACATTTTATCCAGCACATGTTTGGAGGATGCACAGGCTGCATGCCTTGGAAGTGTTCCCAGGGATCCCAGGAGATGAACTCTCCTCCCATCCTGCCATGGTGCCATTCCCCTCTCCCAGTTGTCCTGGTTCTTTAGAGCCAGTGAAGGCAGGGGTTTGCACAGTGACCATGAGGCTATGGACAGAATTTGGCTTTCAACTGGCAGAATAAACTTGTCTTCATAATATAATTTAGATTGAACTGGTTTCCTCATAAATAAATCATTAACCAACAGCCAGCCCTCACTCCTGCCCGCACTACATATCTTATGACTTTAGTACAACAAAGGCTTTTCCACCCACATGATACTCAATGACCCATGCCTAATGAGTGTTTGTTGGTTGGGTTTGTGTTCTGCAGGAGGAATGTTCTTATTTCAGCAATTTGCAAGGACAGCCAAAACTGGCTCTGGTTTGCTTTATGAAAAGTGAAGGAACTTATGTCACACAGTTGCTCTCTCACATTCTTATCACTCAAATAGCTGGCTGCAAAGTGAGGTAGGTAATACGCCATTCACTGGGCTTTTGATGATTTACAAGCCACTAGGAAAGCTGATATGAACTCAAAGGAGCTGCCGCCACTCATTTCCAGTATCACGAGGACGCGTCATTTCCCTTCACTACACTGCAAACGCATTAATTCTGAATCACATGCTCAAGAAAAAWTACATTGGAATGAGCACACATGCAAACTGAAAGAGGAGAGGCCAAGTGCAGGAATGCTGAGCTGCAAAATTTCAGTAGAAGAAAATAACTCTCTAGAACTATTCAAAGAAAATGAGAAAGTAGGTCTGTGACCCATGATCGAAGACTTATGGTTCTCCAGTCCACACTGGGGAGCCTTGGTAGAAGTGGCCTGGTAAGTGAAGGCAACAAGGGRTGTTTTTTCACTCAATGTGGTTGAGAATGGACACTTCAGGAAACAAAGCTGCTCTGATTTTTGTTGGCATACAGCTGAAGCAGCCTAATACAGGGTTTCCACGCCTGAGTCACTTTATCCTTCTTTCTCTCATTGCTCAGAATTTGCTTTTTAGGTTGTTGTTACTATGCATGCTGCTATGTTTGTCTTACRTGAGGTTGCACATGGGACTGGATAGTGTGATCCCCTCCCCTTTATTGSTCTTTTCACAACGCAAGACCAATCTGTTCTGTCAATGTTCTCCCAGCCAAGGGCCTAGAGCTCTGTGGATAAGGAAACAGTATCTCCAAAGCAGACTCACAAATGTGGACAAACCTGAAGTAGGTCGTACTTAATCTTCTGTCAGTGTTATCCAGCCAGCTGGTAAAGGACACTGCACTGCTGGAGACGTGGAGTTTTGCTGGGCTATAAAACTGATACCCTGCAGGGATTTAACCTCCTGCTGCACTTCCTTAAGGGTAAGCTATGAATTGTATTTCCTTGAGAAGTCCCATGGGCTGTATTCTGTGTACCAGAACTCCTGCTTTCTCCTCCCTCTCTGTTTTTGGTGGCACCGCTTCCTCCTTTGGCCTGCGAGTACTGCTGAATGCTGTTAAACTGTCCTCAGTGTCAGCCTCCACATAACCAAATCAGTGATGGAAAATATGAGCCTACGTGTTTTTTCCAGGAAGTCAGACAGCAGCTCCCTGTGTCATACAGGTGAACACTTTCTCACGCCAGTAACTCATTAGGACAGCATGTGTGATCTCAGCTCTTTCACAACGATGTTTATAGTCCGTGCCACTGTTTSTAAGGGCTGCTCTGACTGGCAGCTGGTTGCTGATCTTTAGCAGCACTATGGCATTTGCATTTTTACTCTTTTTAKCTTGTTTTATTTCTCCTTTCTTGGGCTCTGGCAAAGTTCAGTCACCATACGTTTCCAAAATCATCAAGTCCCCCTAAAATCCAGTACTGAAACATGTACTTCATCTGCCTGCTTATGAAAATCCTTGTCACTCATGGGATCACCTTGTCAGTTTAAGCAAAGGAACAGCCACAGCTTTGGCTGAAAAGTGTTTGATTAGGTCTTCTAAGGTCTTCTAAGATTTTGAATTCAACCCTTGTCTGGATGACTGCACCTTCCATCTTCTACCACACTTTTCATTATGTTACTTGGATACAAACGCATGTGGTTTTAATGTGAAGTTAAATCCCCAAGCTGCAGTGAAATAATTAACCCTACACCCTTGAATTCCTTGCTACCACACAATCTAGTTTTTATGGAGCTAAGAGTAAAAGCAATAGTGACAACTGAAAATACTTGAGGCAAGAGGGTATTGGCTCACCATGGAAGGCCAGCCTTAGTCATACATATATAAACTTTGGGGCCTAGGGAGTACAGGGAAATAGCAYAGTAAAGATACTGTGTCCTGCAAACAAATATTTGTTCCTACAGTTATTAGTGCTGACTCAGGATTTTTGAAAATAATCTCTCGAGAAAATACTGTCGAGAATAAATAACCTGCCAGTTTTCAGCTGTTAAACTTCCTGGTGAAACACTGATTTGTGATGCCTGCACCCATCCACTGGGATGTATGATTGAGTTGTACCAAGATATAACCCATTTCAGCCTGTTTGGCAGAGCGGTCTCTGAAGGGCTGTATGTTCTCCCGTCTCTGAATATTTTTGTGTATGACCAAACATATGTTAAATATGCAAATCCTCAGCTTTGGGGTGAGWGTGCTTTCTGACTCCTGCTCCTAGTGATATCAGCGAGGGCTGTGGCTATAGCACATTTACCTGCCCGTAATTCTGGGTACAAGGCTGAGGAGAAGCCAGTGCTTCCCAGGGAAGGCTGGGAGCATGGGCAGCAGGTTGGCGTTCCCTTCTTCCCTGTACCTTAGGAGTGCTGTGTACTGGTATGTTTGCCTGGGAACAGAGCAAAACAACCTGCAGCYGGGTTCAAGTGTTAAAATTCAGGTAGAGCAGGCCAGTAACCTCTGTTTCTAGTTATGCAATTTCTTAAATGGCTTTAAGTACTTGCCTTTCCCTGAGGGATGTGCCCACAGCTCCAGCTTGGAGGTCGGTGTGTGTTCTCCTTTTGAAACAGGCAATTTTAGATGGAAGAGCAGCATTCCAGCTTCCTTAAGCAACCAGTTAGTGGCTTCCATAGAACTTCTTCCCAGCTCTCTCACTTCCATGGGGCCRGCAAGCTTTAAACTGCAGTGATTTCTGTAATGGCTTTTTGTCCTCACCCCCTCTCAGAAAGGTAAATGACATTTGCGTCCACCTGAAAATAGAAGACAAAAAGCCATTTTTTTACAGCTGGAAACGTTAAATTATTTTTGTGCTTTTGGGCCTTTTTCTTGACTCTGTCCCTTTCAGAAAGGACCYTTTGTGTGCTGCCCTTGCTCTGTGCGCGGGTGGCACCTGGCTGGCCTCTTCTTCACGGGGACAGGGACATCTGCTCATCCTCAGGCAGGCCTGTGTCTGCCTCTGGGAGACAGGCCAGCACTGARGCTCTGAGCAGACCCCAGAGAGATGATGGTGTGAAAATACAGCGCAGGGCAGCAGCACCTGAGCTCCCAAAAACAGAGAGGGTGAGAAAGGGCCCAGGCGGGTGCCCGGGCCCCGGAGAGGCAGGGAGGACATGGAGAGCTGCCTCCTGCCCCTTTTTCCACACTGAAAGAGGCATTTCTGGGCAGTGTCACAGGCAAGTGGGACTGTAACAGCGTTTGGGGAGACACCCCACAAGTACCCCTCGAGGCAGCATAATCCCAGCCTAGTGAGGGCGTATCCTTGGGAGGCTTCACAAACAGCCCAGGGAGCACTCCCCAGGCAGGGAAAGCACTGTGCCTGTGAGGGAGTCACCGGCCTGGGTAAGAGAGGAGAGAGGGTAAAGTGTAGAACAGTGTGCCACTGCCTGCATCTGGACTTCTCCTTCCAGTCCATTTCTAACTGCAGCATTTAAGCCCCACAGATTTTCACTGCTAACTGGTCACAGCTAGCATTCCTTGATGTGCTTTTGAATCAGATCRTTCTGTAAGATCTATTATGTCTCTGGCTTGTAAAATACAATAATTTCTTACTAGGTTACACTAATATTTCGTAATTCATTCTTAATATTATTCTTYAATAAAGCTCTGCGCAAACAATCTATCCCACAGGAGGAACTTCTGCCAGATCCCAGATGTCAAACACATTTTCTTCAAATACTGGAGTTCGTGACCTTTTATGTTTATTAATGTGACGCCATGGAAATTATTTATAATAAATAAGCATATTTCGGAGTCAGGTGCTCCATACAACAGCCTTTCCTGAAACAGGTCTTTCCTGTTTTGTTGCAAGTTTTTTTCTCCCTTAACAATGAAGGTTTGGGAACAATTTGAAACCTTGTTATTGAACCGAGTCCAACTACRCACTGAAAGGTAGACAGGAACTTTTAGGATAACTCATCTTCCATATCTTTCCTGAAATCAGCAACAGATAAGGTTCAAACTTGCTATTTTATCCTTAACTCTGAAACAGCAATTTTAAAACTACAGATTGTATATATAAATTGTCTTACAGGACCAAATTAAAGACAAAATTCTGGAAATGTTTGCATCTGCATGACATATTTGATATGCCAACTGATTTTTGCCAGTAAGAAGCTCATATTCAAGGCTGGCTAGCACCACCTACACACAACCTTACAGGTATAAGAGCTCTAGAAAACAGCTGAAGGTKCCAATATGTCAATAACATTTACTCTTATCTTTTCTTCAGTGGGTGTGACAATGTCCTCCCAAACCTGTGCCAGATTAAGAGCATCTGGCTCTTAATGAAGTCAGGCAAGAAAAGGATGCGATTAGAAAATCTGCAAGAAGCATGCCTTGGCTCTCTTTCATGCTTTTCTCAACTACACAYAAAGGTTTATGATGCCTCCTGAGTTTAATGGATTCATCATCTTGGATTCCAAGACACTAGMAGCAGCAGCAAATCTGAGGAGGAAACAGAACCGTTTGCTCCTGCACTCACAGTTACTCCTGTTCACCACTCTGGCCTGAAGCTGATGGCCTGTCCAGTGGAGCACCCTTGCGCCTCAGTGATTATCCAGCCTGGAACTTCTCCTTGCCTTTGGATAGTTTGGGGCTGGCAACCACTTACAATGTTAAAGGCCACAGYGTAGTGCAGAAGCAACTGCTGCTGCTGCTCACACAAATGTGGGACTGGCTGTGGAGACACAGGACTAAAATGTTCTGGTGCATGAAGGATGAGCCCTCCTTGGATTTATTATCAGAATTTATTAATGAGGTGTGTGCACAAAGAAAATCTGCCTTACAGCACAAGGCAAAACCTAACAAGCCAGCAAATCTGTTTTCRAATTCACAGTACATCAAATCTGAATGAGATAAAGAGCGTGTCCAATTTGAAGAGCAAAGTATCTCCATGTAATTGCTTGTCTAGGCATTGTAGCAACATTTTCAAACCATRCTGGACATTGTGCAATAAAGCTGTTCTTCTGCAGCTCTGTGGGAGGAGGCAACTGGCCACAGACTCAGATGGTGGACAGAATTCCAACAGGTACTGTCAARAAAGTGTGATGTTAAACATGCATTTGATAAAAGGAGAAAATAAAAAATAATAGGCATGGACTGAATTATGGCAGCTTTCTCTAATGAAGTGTGTGGACCCCACCCAACATCTGTGGCAGAGGAGGGAAGGTGTCTGCTAAAYGCAAAGTTTATGATGGGAATGGAAAAAAAACAGGCTCCAGCTGAGAGCAGGACAAGGAGGATGAGGAAACAGTTTCATGTTTCTCCCAAAAAAACCTCAGGGGACAAAGATTACTGCTGCAAAAACTTTAATGGTAGTAAAATCCTCTGGCTGCAGAAGTTGTTTGTAATGAAGGTGTATTAACTGCTTAGAGACTTCAGCTGAAAAGTACTCTGCTATTTCACTGAAACCTAAGTTAAGAAATCTTTCTTTTTTTGTCTAAAAAMTCTCTGCCTCAGAAAACTTGATTTAGTAGTTACGCATACAGTTTGGCTGTGTGACGGACTTGTCCTGATAACGCCCTGAAGGCTGAGCTCATCACTTGGCTATCACAACATATACTGGAATTTAACTCTGATCATAAGCACATCACTTGATGTTATTTTCTGAAACTAAAATATTTCATAAGCAGTAGTGTTAGTTGTTTGCTTGCTCTGAAGGATTCTCAGCTGGGAGAGAACTGGAAAAGCTATTTAGAATCATCAKCTGCTTAATTTCATGTAATTCTTCATAAAATAGGCAAGAACTTCCAAGCAATTATGTTTTCTACTTTTGTGCTTACAATATTTCAGTATGTTYTGTGCAAACATTAATTCAACCTATGAACCTCTTGATTTTTAACATGGAAGTTGGTATGTCAGTAAGTGTGCACAGGTGGTGGGATCAGGTTTCTGAYGCAAAGGATCAAGAGAGAGAATTCTGTCCAGGTTTATACAAAACTGCAGCCTCCATCAGCATTCCTGCTGAAAACTCTTCACTGGAGGATTTGCAAAAAGTGAAGAAAAAGGGTCTTCTGTTTGAAAGTGTTTGCAGATGTAAATAATTACTCAAGATTTGTGTCATTATTTATACAYGGGGTTTTTATTGTTTTAGGTCTACTTCATAAATGTTTGAGGCCAGAGACGATAAATATGGACTCCTGCTTGTAGCTACTTTCCACAGTCATCTGGCTACTCCTCTTTCAGCAAGACAAATATTGGACAGTTGTAATCCAAYCGCATAAACAGGCTCAGCAACAAGTGAAAAAAAGTCTGCTCTGCAGAGGTTCAAAACAGATGAGACAGGCCTCGCTGGGGAATATGAGAGGTGAAGCATAGCCCAGACTAATAAATTCTCCTCTATTGGCCCTGCATGGCTCTGCTCAAATATCTCAGCCCTGCGTTTCTGGAGCTCAGAGTGCTGTGGTTTGGCAAAGCCAGCCMAAAGCAGCCCAGTTTAGTAGCTTGGTCTTAGTACTGGGGGTGCCCAGAGTAGAGGCAGCACAAGGAGCAAGAGCAGCTGCAGAGAACCGGGAATTAGTGAGGAAATGTGGTTCAGTGAGTCTGGAATGGCCACCAGAGGAGAGGGGGCCAAAAGCAGGAGTCAGTGAGGCAGGGAAACATCACCCAGATCTCCAGCAAGGCATAGTTACAGAGCATGGGGCACTCTGGATGCTGCCAGCAGGCTGGCAGGGAAGGAAGATCATATTTCTAGCTGACAGAGAGGTCTGAGGAGCAAAGAAAATAGGTAAATTGGTTTCACTGCTGATCTTCAGACTAGATTTGTTTGGAACAAAAATCTTCTAAGGAAGGGGGGAGGTTTTTTTCCCATCCCAGCTAAAAAAAAAAATCACAGGACAGTAATGCTCTTCCCCTCCATAAAAGATCAGGTTGGCCAGATCCTTTATCATGCACAGCTGAATTTTGTGTTTATTGAAGCAAACTTCCTAATTTTCAAGCAGCTGAAAGAAGACTGAAAGGTGTCTCCCAAACCATGAAAAGAGCCACAGAGATGCGTTAATTGGCCCCCTTAAATTACARGGCACAGTCTTGCCTTGATGAAGAAGGAAGGTCGTATCACAAATGGGGTTTTTTCCCTTCAACTGCCTTGTCAAAAATACTGTTTTTAATGTCCTTTCCCTCATCAGAGGCAACCTGCAGTCCCAAAGGATGGCTGCTATTGCCCTGTAACTCGGGCAGCTGGAGAGTTGCTCAGGCAGGACTGGAAGTCATTGAGAGCCTGAAAAACCCTTGAGCATGAAAATGCTGAGGTAACCTGATAGCAGCAAGCTGCATACAGGGGCCTTATCAGTAGTTAAACAACACACTTCTGGGAGCAGTGAAAATAAAGCTGTTTGGTCACGTAAATTAATTCAGTGAGATGCCTTGCAATGTGTGCTTAACAYGCACCTCAGGAGGACTCAGATAATTCTGGAAGCAAAGCAGGTTACTGGTATTTCTTTAACAGTGACCATGCATAATCTTATGAATTCTATTAACGGGAATCAGAGCCTCTCTGCTATGTGACACCCAGTACTTGCAACTGGCTCGGTGCAGAGATGAACAAAGATGCTTTGTGAGCTCAAAATTTATGAGTCTGTGCTTTTGGCAGAGGGTCTCTCTCCCCCTACAATGTCTCTGGAGCTTGAAGTAGCTGTGTTACACTGCCTGATGACAGGCATGAAATTCTTAGTTAGCAGTAAATCTGTGGTGCTATTAAATTTAAAATGAGAAATATTGTAACAGAAAARCTACAGTCTTGGTGGATGGGGAATCCATTGAAGACCGCAAATCAAGAGCTATTAGAGCAACTGTGCAAAACTTCAGTGACAGGAAATTTTAAAGCTCTCAGAGTGTAGACAGCATTTCTTTGGGGAAATACACCCTTTTTCCTATTAATTCAGCCCCACCTTTTACTCATATTTGCCTCTTGGGGTATTTTAGCACTTCCAGTTATCAAAAACTAAAATTAAGGAGAGACCACCTTGACAATCACAGCATTTTTCCTTCCTGAAAGGAAATTTCCAAACCAGAATTTCCTGCTGAAAATTCTGAACCAATCAACTGTGTGTGATCCCTAAATTATCCTACAAGCTACGCACTGTCGTAGCAGGGGCTTTCTCGTGTCCATGTAAAGCCTAACTTGACACGGATCCATATTCCARCTGCACATGCTGTTTCCTAAGAACATTGTAAAACATGAAAAAAAAATCGCTTTTTCTGTCTAAAACAGAAGCCTGGTTGCACTTCTAGCAAAGGGAGTGGCACCGACTTCGCAGGTGTCATGGTCCAGCGAGCGTCAAAGAAGAGCTCCTGACAGGCATTTGGAGAGAAGTCTGCCCCAGCGAGTAGCTCTGGTGAGGCGGGAGAGTCCCAGGCTGGGGAAACTCCCCCTCGGCGATAGGGATCGGTGAGTAAGCGCTGGGGAGCGCACCTGGCGGGCGGCGGGGCGGCACTGCCCGCCTGCGGACGGAGCGGCGGCAGCGCGGGGACAGCGGCGGCGGCGGCACAGGGGACGGCGAGAGCGCTCCCAGCAGGTACCGGGCCGGACAGCGGGGAGCGCAGAGCAGGGCAGGACCCCCGGCCGGGGCCGCGGGGAGCGCAGGGCAGGGCAGGGCAGAGCAGCGCAGGGCAGCGCAGAGCAGCGCAGGACCCCCGGCCAGGGCCGCAGGGCAGGGCAGGGCAGCGGCCGCGGAGCCGCAGGAGCTGCCCCGGCGGAGGCGGCCGTGCCGCGGGTGTCTGCGCTTCCGATCGAGCGGCAGAGTTCGCGAAATGAAGGCAGGTAGGAAAGTGGTAACTCTTTTGAAGTACTGCGGCATTAAATTTTCATATAAATTAGGTCCTAGATTCAATTGTACTTAGAACAGTTTCAGTGCGGTATTGCTGTGTGAAAGTGGCTTTGTGAAATTCGAATATTCTATGTGAATTGTCAGCGAAGTGTTGTCACAAGTCAGTAATATCTAATTAGATCATCTTCTCTAGGAATACTTCAAGTAATTAGAGATGTGGTTTAGCCAGAACTCTGAAGGAAGTTGTGAATATAACTAGACAGTTTCCCTCTGTAAGGGATGACATCAGAAAACACATTCTATTTGCTGAAATTATATCTTGCTGTATCCAAGAGCACTGCTGAAGCAGCAGGTATCATTGTAAGCCATTTCAAGCTGTCATGTTCAGAGATGTTGAATGTATACCATGAAGCTGGATTCCTGGGTGTTTCAGATCACTCTGGTTATTAAACAGCAGTCTGAAATAAATACYATCTTTAATTAAGCTGGTCTTGTAGCTCTTCTTTGATATGGACACATGCCTCATGTGTCTCATGTGATGCATTTCTCTAGATAAGAATGAGAAGGTCGATACCGTGACTGTTCCTATAAGGCACACTTCCAGTCAGTGCCGCTGTAATTGTGTGGGAAGAGAACAAGATCCCAGGATGTCCACTGGGCCACATCTATCAAGTGCCTTCCTGTCTAAATGATCTAGTGAGCACCTGCACCTCGGAGCTGGACCCTTGCAGTCCTAACCTTCATTCTTTGATCTGTGCAAGCTCAGGTTTTTCCCAGTGATACTTGCTGAATGCATTGAGGTCTGCTACTTTATGTGCCTTTAGTTTTCACACTGTTGATTAGTTGAGTGTTCAAGCTGTCCAGGMATCCAGAAGCGAGTTGTACCTTGAGATGTTGTTCTTGGAGAACCCAAATGTCTTTACATATCAGGGGATCAGGACCACTTAAAAACCGTGCAGGGGAATATGTTGCTATGCCCGTTTTTTCCCCCCCTTTCCTATTCTTTCTAGGTTTTGTCAYAGATGTGAGGAATCAAGTTCTGAATTTGCATCTTTCATTTCTTGAGAGAGTGCTTGATCCATAAAACCTTTGTGCTGTTCTGGGCTGGTGGTCTCTGGCTCCTCACTTATGAAACTGTTTCACCTTTCTTTCATTACAGAAATATTCATTAGGTGAGCTGTGATCTTACAACTCGGTGGCTAGGGCATGAATCCAAGAATGGGGAAGTTTAATTTCTGGTCCTTTTTCCAAGTGTATGCTAAAGATATAAATATAATAATATATAAATATGAATATATATGAATATTAATCTTTTTTGTAGAATACATGTGGTTAAACAATATGTAATTTCAAGAGAATATATTTATTACTCAAGTGTCCCTTGATTCTTGTCAATACTTATAAAAATGACACCTACTAAAAATGCTGCACCCAGAGGATATGTTGGACTCCACAGATTTCACATGATTTCCACTGCTCTCCCCTGCATTTAATTTAGATTATGGATCCCCAGGTGATTAATTCCTCTTTCTTCTTATGCTGGAAAGAACAAATGTGGGCAGGATTGTTCAATCAGTTGTGTGTGTAGGCTACTAATTTACAATGTTGGGGAAAAAGTTTAGGCATTGGTCTCTTTCTCTTTGTCCTAAACCTCAGTCTTAGTTGTTTTACTTGTTCTGTCACTTGTTTAGAATCAGCTGGTTTGCTTTTCACTCAGCCTTCGTTGATCGTATTCGTAGGTGGTTTCGTTTCAGTTGTGAGTTACTCCAAATGCACTCCCCAGGGTTGTGGCTTGGCTGTGAAACAGGCAGTTGTGCTCTGGCCCCCTGTTTTCCCCAGTGCATTCTGACCCCACCTTGTGCAGTCAACCACAGGGAGAGTTGGAAAACTCTTTTTTTTTTTTTTTTTTTTTAAGAAAAAAAAGGTTGTTTATTTTGGTCATTTAATTTTGTATCTAATCAGTGAGCTGGGCCAGCTCACTGTGCAGCTGCATGTTTACAGCAATGGCTGTTGGCAAGGCGGAGCTGCACTGCCCCTCCGGTAGCAGCCAGCCCTTTCAGCAAGCTCAGGAAAGGCAGATGCAGCCCCCGTGTGTGGTGTCAGGGTCACAGGACCTGCCTTCTCACGACAACCCCAACTAGGAAGCCAAGCTTTGGCCAGCTTAGACCTTCTGTCTTCGTGTCAATCCTGCCTGCTGTGGCTCATGCCAGAAGTGCTCTTTGACTTCAGTGGAACATTTCTTGAACTTCTTTGCTTGATTAAGATGCTATTTACTTCAATCAGTAAACTTCATGTGATGCTTATCTGGACTTTCTGCTCCCCTCTTTGGACCCTTGTTTAATTTTATAAAAAAAAAAACAGCTTTGTTTACTCTGAATTGCTATCTCCCAAGATACCTTCAATCTGGAAAATACTCCCTCTAATCTAAGTAGGACAACACCCAATCTGTCAGCAGAGAACTTAAGATCTCGTCTCTTTACAGTGAAAGGCAGAGCAAGCTCTGACTTGAAGTAGAACAGTCTCTGATTTCAGCCATGTTGTCATTTTAGTCAGTAACTACAGCTCCATCAGAAATTGCTTATGCAGGGAGAAGTTATGGTGATAGCTTTTTGCAGCTGGAATGGATCTTCTGATCCTTCTCTACCTAAACTAGGAAGCCTCATGTGGGAAGAGGTTCAAAACCTGTGCTTTCTGTGTTCCATTATATATTTTACTGATCTAAATACATCAAATCATACAGAATTAGTGAGGATATTTGTCTTAAGCTTAGTATGAGTATTTGTTTGCCTGTCATTGCAGCTGAAGTTTATACTAATACCGTGCCAAAAAAAAAAATTATGTCGTCAATCTGATGCTTATCTTTCCTGTAAATTGTACCCTGGTGATTTTGTTTTGAATCTTTGTTTTTCACTGATCTAATAACCACACTTTAACTGGAGGGAACAGATAATTAGGTCCCAAATGAAGGCTATTGATGTTTGTGGGGTCCTTGTGGTCATTGCAAAGGCCTGGAGAGTGACTTCTGGAGATGCTCCTTTGGCAATTTAACCAGCTTTGAAATCCAGGAAAAGCAATCTAGAAGGACCATGTCCCAATGACTTTGAGGCCTCTGTGGCACTCCATTAAAGCACCTATGCTTTGGAGCCTGGGGCATGGCTGTGGGCTGGTGCAGGGTGCTGCAGCCTGGGCAGGGGGTTCCTGGCTCCCAGCCCAGCTCCCCTGGGCACCGCGCTGGCCCCGGAGCCCCTGCAGCCGCATCTGCAGAGCGTGCTGGGGGTACACAAATGCACTCCTGTAGTGCCTCAGCTTTGACTCAAGCACAGAGAGCCCAAGGCTGCCTGGTTATTTTGGGACAGCCTCATCATCAGAGCCGTGGGAGGGCCCCTCCTCTTCGCAGGAATGTGACCCCTCTCTCTCTCCCACAGAGTTGTCATGCCTCCGGGCAGAGGGGGCTGCATGTGGCTTCACCCACCCTGCTTGTTGAAGCTGGCTCAGGTGGTTCATGTGGCCAGAGATGGCCCAGCCCTTGACCAGGGCATGGCAGGGGCTGGAGGGAGCAGATAAATGTGGGGCTGGGGTGTAATTCTCTTTRCAAACTTCAGGCATGCAGTCCACTGTGTGTGTACATCTTCCAGTAAGGAAAGCACCTGCCATGCAGAGAGGAGGGCTGGCCAGGACAAGGTTTAAAAGTCACTTGAGCAGTGCCTTTGTAGTTAGTGGWGAGCTGGTAGAAAAGCAAGTTGTGCCTCCTGTTTCTGAGAGAAATTCTGTTGTTTAGTGCTCCTAAGTGACAATAACACATTCTCAAGACCAGTTTCATTTTGCAGTAGGGGAAAATTCTAAAATTTTTTATTCTGGATTGTGTTTGTTGGGKTTTTTTCCTCCATGGCTTAGTTTTGCAAAAGGGGGCTGTTGGCCTCTGGATTGGGAACTCTGTGACTTTCCCATTCAGGTTCTCTGTCTTCTCAGCAGTGACTAGAGTTGCAAAAAAAATTTCTTCCATGATGCCTTAATGAAACACAGAACATCCGCCTAAATTACCCTGGCTTTCATTCCATTCAGTGCTACAAGTACTTCCAGATCTAGTTGCACCAATGTGTGAAGTCATGGGTCCAAAATCTCTTAGGAAGAGTGTTTATTTAAAGTAAATAGAATTAAATAAAGTGAATAGAATTAAAAAAACATACCCATACATTTATGGTGTAGCTGTTGTTCACTGTGTTGTTAGAACAATTCTGTCCTAAGGGAAAAAAGGGGATGGTGGTTTCACGCTGCCAGCTTCTGCTCTCAGGACCTCTGTCTTCTCAGAAGGGAGTGGAGTCCCACCACCACATCCCAGAGTTGTAGCAACATGTGGCTGATAATGATTGRGATCTTAGATACTGCCATTAAATTGAGACAGTTTTGATTTCTGCTTTTTTCTCCCACTGTCTGTGCAAACTCATTGAAAAATGCCTGTTACACAGTGCCTGGTTAGTACTCATCTGCCTGGGCAGATGCCAGCAACTCCAGCCAGTACAGCACTCCAAGAKGCACTGCTGGGGATGTTAAAGTGGTTCTGGGTCCCTGGTCTGGGTGGATTTAATGCAAAAAGTAATAAATAGTTGTACCTTATAAAGACACTTTTGTTTCAGTGAGTGTTTAGGCAGCTTCCTGAGCTCAGTACACATGCCCTGCAGAGCCATACTCCCAGTCTGGTTTGGATTTGAGTTAATTAAGATCAGTTCCCATTTCCTGTTCTTGCTTCA